TTACGTATTGATCGGTCTTCGGTTTTCGGTACTGATTTATTCTCTCATTTCATTATAAGAAAAGAAAAATTGATACGGATCGTTCGTTTAACACAGTTAATTTGTTAAGTAAATTAAAGGGGTAAGTACCTGAAAAATAAGAACAAATTGTCATTGCACTTGGACAATTCTCTGACACTGATTTACGGTATTAATCGATATTCGATTTTCGGTACTGATTTACTCTTTCATTTCTCTATAAGAAAACAGAAAATTAATACGAATCGTTCATTTATCCGCGTTAATTTGATGGAAAAATTACGTATTGATCGGTATTTGGTTTTCGGTACTGATTTATTTTCTCATTTCTTTATAAGAAAAGAAAAATTGATACGGATCGTCCGTTTAACAGAGTTAATTTGTTAAATAAATTAAAGGGGTAAGTACCTGAAAAATAAGAACAAATTGTCATTGCACTTAGACAATTCTCTGACACTGATTTACAGTATTAATCGATATTCGATTTTCGGTACTGATTTACTCTTTCATTTCTCTATAAGAAAACAGAAAATTAATACGAATCGTTCATTTATCCGCGTTAATTTGATGGAAAAATTATGTATTGATCGGTCTTCGGTTTTCGGTACTGATTTATTCTCTCATTTCTTTATAAGAAAAGAAAAATTGATACGGATCGCTCGTTTAACAGAGTTAATTTGTTGAATAAGTTTGGAGGGGTTAGTACCTGAAAAATAAGAACAAATTGTCATTGCACTTGGACAATTCTCTGACACTGATTTACGGTATTAATCGATATTCGATTTTCGGTACTGATTTACTCTTTCATTTCTCTATAAGAAAACAGAAAATTAATACGAATCGTTCATTTATCCGCGTTAATTTGATGGAAAAATTACGTATTGACCGGTCTTCGGTTTTCGGTACTGATTTATTCTCTCATTTCTTTATAAGAAAAGAAAAATTGATACGGATCGTTCGTTTAATACAATTAATTTGTTAAGTAAATTAAAGGGGTAAGTACCTGAAAAATAAGAACAAATTGTCATTGCACTTGGACAATTCTCTGACACTGATTTACGGTATTAATCGATATTCGATTTTCGGTACTGATTTAATCTTTCATTTCTCTATAAGAAAACAGAAAATTAATACGAATCGTTCATTTATCCGCGTTAATTTGATGGAAAAATTACGTATTGATCGGTCTTCGGTTTTCGGTACTGATTTATTCTCTCATTTCTTTATAAGAAAAGAAAAATTGATACGGATCGTTCGTTTAACACAGTTAATTTGTTAAGTAAATTAAAGGGGTAAGTACCTGAAAAATAAGAACAAATTGTCATTGCACTTGGACAATTCTCTGACACTGATTTACGGTATTAATCGATATTCGATTTTCGGTACTGATTTACTCTTTCATTTCTCTATAAGAAAACAGAAAATTAATACGAATCGTTCATTTATCCGCGTTAATTTGATGGAAAAATTACGTATTGACCGGTCTTCGGTTTTCGGTACTGATTTATTCTCTCATTTCTTTATAAGAAAAGAAAAATTGATACGGATCGTTCGTTTAACACAGTTAATTTGTTAAGTAAATTAAAGGGGTAAGTACCTGAAAAATAAGAACAAATTGTCATTGCACTTGGACAATTCTCTGACACTGATTTACGGTATTAATCGATATTCGATTTTCGGTACTGATTTACTCTTTCATTTCTCTATAAGAAAACAGAAAATTAATACGAATCGTTCATTTATCCGCGTTAATTTGATGGAAAAATTACGTATTGACCGGTCTTCGGTTTTCGGTACTGATTTATTCTCTCATTTCTTTATAAGAAAAGAAAAATTGATACGGATCGTTCGTTTAACACAGTTAATTTGTTAAGTAAATTAAAGGGGTAAGTACCTGAAAAATAAGAACAAATTGTCATTGCACTTGGACAATTCTCTGACACTGATTTACGGTATTAATCGATATTCGATTTTCGGTACTGATTTAATCTTTCATTGCTCTATAAGAAAACAGAAAATTAATACGAATCGTTCATTTATCCGCGTTAATTTGATGGAAAAATTACGTATTGATCGGTCTTCGGTTTTCGGTACTGATTTATTCTCTCATTTCATTATAAGAAAAGAAAAATTGATACGGATCGTTCGTTTAACACAGTTAATTTGTTAAGTAAATTAAAGGGGTAAGTACCTGAAAAATAAGAACAAATTGTCATTGCACTTGGACAATTCTCTGACACTGATTTACGGTATTAATCGATATTCGATTTTCGGTACTGATTTACTCTTTCATTTCTCTATAAGAAAACAGAAAATTAATACGAATCGTTCATTTATCCGCGTTAATTTGATGGAAAAATTACGTATTGATCGGTCTTCGGTTTTCGGTACTGATTTATTCTCTCATTTCTTTATAAGAAAAGAAAAATTGATACGGATCGTTCGTTTAACACAGTTAATTTGTTAAGTAAATTAAAGGGGTAAGTACCTGAAAAATAAGAACAAGTTGTCATTGCACTTGGACAATTCTCTGACACTGATTTACGGTATTAATCGATATTCGATTTTCGGTACTGATTTAATCTTTCATTGCTCTATAAGAAAACAGAAAATTAATACGAATCGTTCATTTATCCGCTTTAATTTGATGGAAAAATTACGTATTGATCGGTCTTCGGTTTTCGGTACTGATTTATTCTCTCATTTCTTTATAAGAAAAAAAAAATTGATACGAATCGTTCGTTTAACAGAATTAATTTGTTAAGTAAATTAGAGGGGTAAGTACCTGAAAAATAAGAACAAATTGTCATTGCACTTGGACAATTTTCTTGACATTGATTTATGGTATTGATCAGTCTTCGGTTATCGGTACTGATTTACTCTTTCATTTTTCTATAAGAAAACAGAAAATTAATACGAATCGTTCATTTATCCGCGTTAATTTGATGGAAAAATTACGTATTGATCGGTCTTCGGTTTTCGGTACTGATTTATTCTCTCATTTCTTTATAAGAAAAGAAAAATTGATACGGATCGTTCGTTTAACACAGTTAATTTGTTAAGTAAATTAAAGGGGTAAGTACCTGAAAAATAAGAACAAATTGTCATTGCACTTGAACAATTCTCTGACACTGATTTACGGTATTAATCGATATTCGATTTTCGGTACTGATTTACTCTTTCATTTCTCTATAAGAAAACAGAAAATTAATACGAATCGTTCATTTATCCGCGTTAATTTGATGGAAAAATTAGATATTGAACGGTCTTCGATTTTCAGTACTGATTTATTTTCTCATTTTTTTTTTGATAAGAAAAATTGATACGAATCGTTTATCTGAGTTAATTTGTTGAATAAGATTAGAGGGGTATGTACCTGAAAAATAAGGACAAATTGTCATTGCACGTGTGCAATTTTTTGACACTGATTTATGGTATTAATCGATATTCGATTATCGGTACTGATTTCCTCTTTCATTTTTCTATAAGAAAACAGAAAATTAATACGAATCGTGCATTAATCCGCGTTTATTTGATGAATAAATTAGGTATTGATCGGCCTTCGATTTTCGGTATTTATTTATTCTCTCATTTCTTGGTAAGAGAAGAAAAATTGGTACGTATTGTTCGTTTAACCGAGTTAATTTATTGTTTAAATTTGTTGTGAAGAATGGGAACAAATTGTCATTGGACAATTTTCTGACACTGGTTTATGGTATTAATCGGTATTCGATTTTCTAAACTGATTTACTCTTTCATTGCTCTATAAGAAAAGGAAAAATTAATACGAATCGTTCATTTATCCGCGTTAATTTTTTCTTTTATTATATATAAGTGGTCCATGGGACGATTAAATATTCGAATACATGTTGCCGTATCAAAGTCTCCTCTATAATAAACGATTTGACATTGATTCAAGACACATGATGTATCGTTGTCCGCATCCCATTCCCTTCGTCCTGTTTCCCTGTATAAAATGTCGTATTGAAACGTATTATAAAGTATTGATATTTTGAATATGTCTGAATTCTGAATCTTTTTGATCCGAAGAAAAGGATTGAAAAGTATTAGTTTCCATTAAATTTTACTGCGCTAAATGCGAGACGGTCTCTTTCGCCCGGATGCCTCACCAGGGAAATTTCTCTGGTACGCTAAATCCCGTAAAGCCATCAGTCTTTGTAGTATATCTCGTCGGTGGATAAGGTTTATATTACCTGTACATACATATTTTGAAATATTTTCTTTGGATATTATATCAAACGGATTTTGCGTGTCACGTAATATCCTTCGGACTACACGGACATTATTATTTTGGTCATTTTGATTTCTTTGATATTCATTGAATTATTCAGAACGCGCAACTGCCACGTTGAATGACTCAATTGTCGTGTGAAATGTTTCGATTTTCACAAATTCATATAAAATTTTTCATTTTTCACTGATTCACAGAAGTCTTTCACTTTTTATTAGTTCACGCTAGGGAAAAGATTCATGATCGCTGCGCCGAGCAGCTGCAACGCTTTTCGAATCATCTATGTCGGCGCGCTTTTACTCCTCAGATTTCTGTCATTAATAACTCGATAATTATTGCGAATCTCGCAAAATGGTACGGGACTTTTATGTTTGTCTCAACCCAATCTGCCCTCACACTTCGGGTTGGCAGCTAATTACCGGACACTTCGTATGATCTTCATGATATTAATCATACACAATGTCAATTCTTTTTTTTTGCACATGTTAACATGTTAATTCATGTTATAAACGCGTAACAATGTGCGAGACCGTGCTTGTCAAGTACACTATTATGGTTGTAGCACGGACATAAACCGCCTAAAAATGGATATAGCACGGACTGCCACCATATACAGGTTTTACCGCCGAAACCTGAAAGTGGATGTAGCATCGTAGTTCCCCTCTCAAAATGGATGCAGATGGCGCCCTTTCTCAGTGCGGAAAGTCGGTGTCGTCGAAAACACCGTGTTGGCCGCTCTCACGTTCCTCTCTGCTAATAGTTTGCAATAGCCAATATTTCATACTGCTGGCGTGTCACGTCACCAATTAGTTTGTGGTATTCGAGAATAAGGACGTTTGCGGTGTCTCCGCAGAATAATATTCGTGACTTTTGCGAGATTCGTGATACCTATCAGTCATTTGATAATCAAGGATGACTAAAGCTGAAGAAGTAAGCTTTATTATTGCTATTATTATTAAGTTTTATTTGCACTTTTTTATATTTTATTCATTTAAAACGGGCTTATGTATATTGACATTTTTTTTGGAGGGAAAATGGGAAACGACATGCAAAAAATGTAAATTGAACAAATTAATCTGACAGCAGAATATCTTTTTTTCTTGTAAACTTTATTAACTATGTGATTTAGAAATAACTGGGAACTACATAAGACTGTAATAATTGCCTCTAACAAGGCTTCTAACAGCACTGAATACATATTGAATATATACTGAAGATTAAAATAAATTGTATGCCCAGTATAATTATATGCCCATGTATAATTATTTGCTTATTCCTATTCTATTTTTATTTATCTAAATTTTTTTCCTTTTCTTCATATACATATTGTTGCAACAAATTGCCCATTAAGCATGAAAAGAAAATTAGGAAATAACTAATGCTTTATAGATAAAACAAGACATTGAAGAGTTTAACAGTTTGCTGGAGCAAGCCTCCAGGCAACGAACTAAGGATGTACTGACACTGGAGATCAGAAAACTATACACAGAATTGGCAAAGTTGCTCGAAGAAGGCAAGGATGCATCTATCAAGTCAACATCTGCATTGTCCAATGCTACTCAAAAGCGTTATGAAGTAAAACTAAACAATTATGGATGGGATCAGACAAATGCGATGGTGAAGATTTATATCACACTCAAGGATGTTCATTTGCTGCCCAAGGAGTCAGTCATCTGCAATTTTACTGATAAATCCCTAGACTTACGCATACTAGACTTGGACAACCGAGATTATCACTTGCCAATCAACAATCTCTGTGCCGAGATCAACATAGAAAAGAGCAATGTGAAAATAAAAACTGACATGATTGTCGTGTCATTGATAAAGAAAGTTGCTAAAGAATGGTCACATGTGACATGGGTTGAGAAAAGGATCAAGGAAGCAAAGGTAACATCTATGCCAGAGGTTGGTGATGATAGTGATCCTGGTGCCAATTTGATGAATTTGATGAAGAGGATGTACCAGGATGGCGATGATGACATGAAGAAGACAATAGCAAAGGCATGGACCGAGAGCCAACAGAAAAATGCTGGTTTGATGGACTTGTAATTTCCACAAGTAGAACTCTAAATTTTTATTTCTAGGTAATATGCATTTTTTGTGTTCTTTTTATATTTGTTAAATATAAAATGTGTATTGAAGATCATTACCGAAACATGTGCGGCATACAGACGTTCTTAGATAACGATAGTGTTCGCATATATTTATTCTTATGCTATAAAGCATCAAATTGAACAATTGTATTGAAGGAGTTTTGTGTTTCCAAACTTTACAGTGGAAATTATATCATAATCAATAATCTGTGAAGCTTTCATTTATCTTCCGAGAATTCCTCTGTATATTTGTTTATTTTATCATATTGTGCTGTAAGAAAGATCAGTAGTAAAATACGATGAACTTAACTAAAGTTTGATATCTTTATTATCTGCTCTCACATACACCTCACAAACCATGTATTAATTTACATCGCAATTATTTATATGTTGCCTCCTTGTGGTCGATATAATGTACAAAATATTTTCTAGTAAACTTAAATGGGGTTGTAAATCTCGCTTTACAGAACAAATAAAGAGAGTTTACGTGACGTTCGATATAACAATTCGTTGAATCAATTTTGTATAGTTTTTTTTTTCTATTCTTTTAGTTGTCGATCAGCATTTGCCGAGCGTTCGTTCAATCGGATATGACGGTTAGTCGATATTACACAACAAATACACAGCCCGTGTACAAAAATTCTTTGGAATGACTTAACGCTAGCTTTACCTCTTTCCCTTTGACCTTTTCTTTACTCTATATCTAATACAATCGGTACAATTGCATTCAAAAAATCACGAGTCTCTAAAATTTGTTTTTTTTCTTTTCATTCGAAGTAAGATTGGAATGATGCGTTTGCATTATAAACTATATCATGTGATCAGCTGCTGTTCTTTGTAAAATTGGCACTGATATGATAGCTCTCTGGAGGATGACGTTATCGTGTTAGATGAATCTCCGTTTGCAGACATACAGATTCTGCGACTCGCGAAACGAATCACAGATATCATCTCTTGCGAAACTAAGCAACACGTGTCATATTTAGAATGAAACTTATATTTTCCATGACACGACGATGACGCTAGAGTCACGTAAACTCGAAGAAACGGAAAGGTTCCTTCGGATTTTTTCCTCTAAATTGGAAAACCTTCGCATACTTAAGATTTCTATTTCGTGCACGAAGTAATACTCGATTACGCTAGAGATTGTATATTAACGCAGCGCCGATGCCCGGTTGAAAATTGTGCGTTTTTATTCATCAGGAAGATAACACTAATACGACATAACGATGTCCTTTCAAGAGTACCTCGAACGATTACAACGATTGCACCTAATGTGATCATGGAGAACAACTAACGTGATTAGAAATTCCAATTATCGCTTCTTTATAGGCTACGTACTTCTTCTATCGAGTGTGTCGGTTCGCGTTTCTTTCGCGCGTGTGAATAAGTTATCGTTATCTGAATGAAGACACATCCTTCGTCAGCTAATAATAAATATCCAACAGACGAAATTGAGTGTCCCTCAACTATGGTTGTATAATCAGATTCGACGGTTTTGGTTGCGATATAAAAATATCCGCGGCAGATTGATATGACTGTAAAGTATGGTAAAGACTGTAAAGTATGGTAAAGTGTATCTTGTGATAATATGATAACACAGAGGCAAAATATGCACGCGACGCCAATTTTCGACTATCTCCGCCCACCGCTATTCCCTTTACCTCGCCGCTTCGCGCGCTGCCTCGCTCAAGCCGCTCGAGTCTCAGGAGCGTGTTTCCAATAGTTTTCCACGTCACCCATGAAGTACTATTGTTGACGCGTTTTTTTTTTTAAGTGGTATCCCCAGTAAGCCTAATCCACTGATGACTGTAACAACTCGTAACTAATTGAACAGAAGCGAAATAAAATATGTTAAATGAAGAATATTCAATTCGATTTTCGACGTCTTTTATTGATAAGAGTGGAAACGTCAATTTGGATATTGCTTGTAGCGAGCCGCATAAGACGTGGTAAGGAATCGTCGCTTAAAAAGAAGAACACTTCTCATTTTTTATAAACTTCATTTTTGGAAAATCAAGAGGCCTACTGGGGATACCACTTAAAAAAAAACGCGTCAACAATAGTACCTCGTGGGTGACGTGAAAACTATTCGAGGCTCGAGCGGCTTGTAGGCAGCGCGCGAAGCGGCGAGGTAAAGGGAATAGCGGTGGCCGAAGATTGTCGAAAATTGGCCGTCGTGTGCACATTTTGCTGAACTTTGTGATAACATAATAGCAGTCATAACGACAGAGAAGTGCGTCTTACGAGGTCTAAGAATGGCACTTACATACATGTTACATACATGTTTCCACGTATTGAGCCGTTTGTCCCAAAAGTGACACAATCCGAAGTCGAGTACTTCAACACTGAAAATAATCAGCGAATTCCCGATATCTTTCCAATGCGAAAAGAATTACAATTCAACAACTTAAATGAGTTTAGAGAACACAACAGTTGAGTAGTCGACTTTTGAAAGAAGAGTGGATCATGTGGATCGATTTAAAAATATACTCCAATTATAGAGATGATTTTTATCATGCGATTGTCCAATTATTGTGTTTTCTGAACACAACCAATGTCGATCGCACTGTGCCAGTATGAACCAAGACCCATAGTACAATTAAAATGCGCGTTTATCTTATACTAAACGTTAAACGTTATCTTCGACTTATCTGTTTTTTTTTTCTTTCAAATAAATTTAGTGTCCGTTTAGATTTAGTGTCCGAACATCACGATTTACAGATTACGAAAAAATACTAAAAGTCGACGCGATAAACTAGCTACATCCATTTTAACAAACATAAATTTATTCTTATCGTGCTATTCGGTAACGTCTTCGACTTGTGTCACAACTATCATGTGATTAGTAGAGAATGACATACAAAATGCTTGACGTAAATTTTAAACACAGATTACAAACGTTGCACCATAATATGAGAATTTTACCCGTTAAATTATCTAAAAAAAAAAAAAAAATTCTCATGTCTTACTGTAAGTGAATAAATAAACGTTGCATTATAGGATACAGATCTGTGACTATGTGTGAACGAACGCTTATAGTTCTGCATCACACGTATTTCTTTCTCTTTATTCTATACTGTCGGCTTATTAAAAATCACATTTTTTTTCGATGAATTTTCTATGTAACGAAATAATAACGTATTCAATAGGAAAATTTTTCTTATTCTTAAAAAATTTTATTTTCAATTGAACATAGAATGCACTGCAAAATTTGTCGAAAAAAGTATTGTGACCTTTCATTAGGCTATATAATATAAAACAAGGTGCGTCGATTAAAAACGATAATATCCAATTTTAATAATGATATCGGAAGAAAAACGAATTGAACACAGTTCTATAAAGAAACCAAACGTAAAAAAGTGTTGGTTTCGTTATTATATCTTTGTTATAACCATGTAGGCAACAAGTCGTAATTATATAATTAAACGCACTATTTGTGCGGAATGCCCAAAAACTAAGAAAGTTTAATGTCAAGAGAGTCGTAAGACATATCATGACACTTCACATCGTAATCGCAACCAAACGTAGATTTATAATCAGATTTCAGCAGTCTGATTTATGTACATTGTAACACAATGCAATCGTACTTGAGACAAAATACATTGCTTTTTGCTTTTGTCTGTATATATAAATTTTATTCGCATTATCTCCGATAATATACTAAAAAACGATGCTCGACAACCAACGAGCGGTTAAAAATTGCAAAGAAATATCCTTATTCAGAGAATCGTCTAGAATGAATCTCAAATGAACGTAATGATTGAATCGTTTTCTCTCTCTCTTTTTTTTTAATTCTCTTCTTCATTTCATTAAAAAGTTTAAATTAAAGTGCACTTTTGTAATCCCCAAGTTGTATGTATTTTAATCTTTATGGACAACCATATGGAAACAAGTGGAAGCATAATTAACAGACAAGTGGGAGTGTACAAGCGTACATTATATAGCAAAATATATCTAATGATGTAATTTAGTACGATCTATTATTAAGTATAAACGCTAACAATGTTCCCACAATTTATAAAATGCACTCTAACGAGAATTATATTTACAATTCATAATCTATGAAAAATCATGATGTACGTGTCAAAAATTCGTCTCTCTCTTTATTATCTCACTATTCGCCCCTAACGATAAAGAGAGTGCTGTATATCTTTTCCTCGACGACCCTCGCGTTTTAAATTACACCTAACTAATTAAGAACGACGTTTATAATCCTTTTATCAACGATGTATGACTTTCGTATGACTATACGTACTTACTGTACCATACACGCACACGTGTACACTGTTTCTCTATCTGTTTGGAGATTTAACACAGCTTAGCTTAGAAAAAGTCGTTCGCGAACAGAAACAACTCATTCACGCGTGCACCGAGAGACAAGGAACTATCACTCGGCGTAGGGATTGATTGCAAGACGAAGGTTGCAGAACAACCATCTAAATCTCCCTCTAACCCCGATTCCCACGCAACTAACAATAAATAATCAACGTATAAAATTTCCCATATCTAAATCCACTGATCCGCGAATACGCGGCGAGGATGTTAATAATACAAATTAGAATAATATTTATAATAATTATAAAATAATAATAATGACGACGATAATAATAATGATAATAACAACATAAGAAAGAAGACCAGAAGCAGATGCTTAGTCTTTGGTTCCCGCGTAAAGACTTACATCGCTAATATCGTATGTATTCCCGTGAGACGAGGTTGTTACTGGTTACAATTCGTCCAGATTGCAGTTGTCCGGTACGCGGTTTACCGCGCTAAATATGTCTGATTTTCCAGATTCACGGCGTGGAACACCTCACACATGGCGTCCCGTGTTCTCTGCATCAGATCCTCCACGTCGTTCGTGCTGAGTCCCTCGGTAGAAATCGGAGGTAACGTCGTAACGAGAATACGTCCTTCAATTTATATTTTTACTTTGCATTATGTTATTGAAATTGAAATGTTTTGTCGTTTTAATTTAACATTTTAATTAATCAAACTATAATGAAATATTAATTGAGCTGGACCTCGTACCGTCCTAAACTTTTTCTACGTATTTTCATTCTTATTTATTACACAACATCTTGATTTCATGAGTTTTGAAATAGAAATATTTAGCGAGACACAAATCTGCTTACTTTTGATAGCAAGTGTCCTTCGATTTTAAGTGAAAATTCTCTCAAGCATCAAATTAAGCGGAGATCAAAGTTTTGTCATTATGATTACAAAATTTCACGAATAAATTCATTTGAACGAAAATTCTTTGATGAATAGATCTTGTCGCATTCCTCTGGTAATTAGAAGATCACATATCTTACCAGTATCGAACCTCTTCTCTGCTGCAGACAGGAAATAATAGGAAGAGAATACGACCGGTAGTATGGGTACCTGTGATTTGATAGCTACGTGGAAGGCACCCTTCTTGAACGGATGAATTTCGCCGGTGTTGCGCCTGGTCCCTTCGGGATATATCCACAGTTTTACCTGTGAAGCATCAGAATTGTATGAATAGCGAAAAATGAGATCGGTGACTCATATTTTGCACGCGACAAAGCATTCGTACACTGGACAACACGGATCGATGGTCTTCTTCAGCTCGATTATCCAAACTGTTTCTCTCTAAATTCTAATTCTAATGTTTGGTATGACAGATTAAAATTTAGAATATTCAAATATTCTCAGCAAATTTGAAGCATTTAAGGGAGAAACATTTAGGTGTCTTTACATCATTATCTTCTTCGCAAACAATTTTTGCAAATAGGGAAATGAACCCGACTTTAATGACTAAAATTGGCTGCATCATGGGATGAATAGTGTTTACCTTCAAGAAGCAGAGAAAGAAAGAAAGAAAGAGAGAGAGAGAGAGAAAGAGAGTAAACGAAACACACCTTTTTATCCTTGAGCTGCTGCGCGGCATTGTTGAGAACAGATCGTGCAGACTCGGAATTCATCCTGTCAATAAAGATCAAACCACATAACCATGTGGAGAGGCCAAAAGGCCACGCATAAAAGAGCTCCTTTTTGCTCACAACAGTACATTTCTCCATCACTGGCCACAGATCAAATAACCCTAGAATATCCAGCGAACTTTGATGATTTGCCACTATTATGCAGGCTCTATCTTTTTCTAGATGTTCTCTTCCTCGCAGCTCCCAGCGCAGTCCCAGTAGAGGGCTGATATAATGGCAAAACCACGATGCGAGCCTGCAGAAACAAATTTCACTTGGCATGGCTACAACTTAACAGATCCCATCTATTTTCCTTAAATGCGCCTTGCGAATACGAATTTGCCTTTCACGCGGGTAGAAAGTATTTCCGCTTATTTATGTCAAATTCAAGTGCGCACATAAATGTTTTCGGAAATATCCCGAAGAGAGTTTCTCGTTCCCGCGATGTGATTTTTAAACATTTATCTTTTGAAAATTACCTGATATACCTGACTTATACTTTGGACACGTCAACTATTAGAAAATCATTTAACGATATGTATATATTCAGTTCGCTAATTGAATTTTTTTACAGTATAAAGGCTGCACGAAAAATCGTGATATAATTTATGCAAACATCAGATAGTTATGAAAAATTATGTAAGTTTATTTTAATTTCATAAATTTAAATATATATTTTTGCAGGAACGCAATTCAGCGTCGAAAAAAAATACTTGATCGACGTAACCACTTGACTCAGACGCAAATATAATAAATACGAAAACCTTGCACTTCGTACTTGCACTTGCTGTTTCATATCAACAAAGATCATTTCATAACAAGAATTTATAGATACATAAATAACACACAAAAATCGTTTTATAACAAAAAGATTATCAAGATTTTAATTATAAAGTAAATTCCCGAACGAGTGCTAGATCCATTTGTTTTGATAGATATACTGATAAAAGAATACGTATCTGACGTATTTTGTTGGATGATATGTCGCGTCATCACGTCTTTGAGAAACCAATGTACACGGTTGATCTCAAAGCTTGAATATTTTTCATTCTCAACGTCCTTTGGAACGCAGTCGTGATTATCAAGATCGCTCATTGAACGATTGGCCACGTTCCCAAGTGTTGAAACCGTTTAAAAAAACAAGCGAGTAAGCGTGTTTGCATTCGTTCTTTGGAAAGGGAAGCGGGCATATCGATGTGTTACAGAGATACCACGAACTTCTCAAATTACTCTCGATCAACAGCGACGTATCGGCGCCTTCGACGTATCGTGAATATCGCATGATTAACTAATGCCCGATTAATTATGCCCACGTACTTTAATGATTTTTCTTTTTCGCGCAATAGCGTGTCCGTTCACGGTGTATGCCAAGTATGACGCAAATACCGCTCGGACGTTTATTACTATTTGGCGGCGACATTATCGTTATGGGAAGCGATTCATTCGCGCGCGCGACAGCTCAGAGAGGCACAACAGGTTTAAATTCTCTCGCACAGAGAACGGCGCATCGACAATCGCCGTCGCGCACACGTTCGTAACAACCCCGCGCCATCATCTTTCTCTCCCTTTCCCTTTCCCTCCCTCTCTCTCTCTCTCTCTCTCTCTCTCTCACTATACTACTATCACAACTACCACCTACTAAACAACCAACAAGCGCCGGTCAATAAATTCCCGCTCATTCCCGGCTCTCTCGATTCTTGCGCGTCCGTCACCGCCAGCGCGACGTCTGTCAAGTTAAACACGAGGGAAACAACGAAGGGGCCAGACCGGCGACGAGAAATTCAGAGCATTAACACGGACGGCGAGCGGCGAATGTGCGAAAGAACGAAAGAGTGTACGAGCGTACGGACGAGCGTGTGAGCGAGCACGCACAATAATATCGATCGCACGTGCGCGCGCGCGAGCGACTATTGCTGCTCCCTCCTATAATGCTATTACTAACACGAAATTTTTGACGTTGCGAGGCCGCAATGCAAAAATGGGCAGTAGCCACAATGCGTTGAATAACACGGTGAAGTAATATATGAAGAACTTGAAGTGGTAGCGAAACGTGCGGCTGGTCTCGTAGAGGAACGGCAGCACGAGAATGCAGCAGATGAGGATCACCTCGAACCACGAGGCCATTTTCTTCCGAGAAGACGGACGCGTCCTGTGTAAATTCGTGTATATCTCTCACTCTGTCTTCTCTTCTGTTCTATCCTTTTTTCGTTCCTTGCTCTTTCTCTCTCTCTCTCTCTCTCTCTCTCTCTCTCTCTCTCTCTCTCTCTCTCTCTCGCTCTTTCTCTTTCTCTCGTTCTTTTTCACAAGCAGAGTTCGTTTAGCTTCTTTACAATACCACTCTCGTGGCAGGTAGGCACTCCCCCTTTGGTCCGTTCGACTCGTTTCTTTTTTGGACGACGTTCAAGGAATGGTTTGGGGACCTTGTGACACTGTCGCAAGTAGGGCTCGTGTCTCTCAGAACTTTCGGGTACACGTTTTACCGCACGACACAAAGCAACGCAACGCGCCGCTGCGCAGGCGAACACTACCGTCGACGGCGAGCAACCGAGCGCTTTAATACCGCCGTGGCTGCCACACGGAGGGAGAGAGGTTTTTTTTTTCTCAGCAACCTACCCCTACCAATCGGTCGATCGGTCGATCATCATCCACGCGCGTGCGATTTTGTCAAAAAATCCTCTGGCCGGTGATTTATCGATCTCTCGCGTGAGTCTGAAATTAGAGTTATATAAAATGAACTTTATATAATTATAATGAACTGTAAATAAAAAATGAACTGTATATAATTATATTAAATGTTAAATTATATTAAATATGACTATAGATTATATTAAACTTATAATTATATTAAATTCAAGTGTAATTATATATAATTACATTTAACGTTTCATGAATTTAATTTTTACTTTATTTTTTAATCTTAGACAACTTACTGTATGTCCATGTGTGTTTTACAAAAAAATCGCACAAACTGGCCTAGTTATCAAATTATCAAATATGTAATTATAAAGTATTTATTATATATATAAATATGTAATTATGATGTAAGATAACTAATGTAATATGATACAACTTAAGATATATTAATCATTATGATAAATGACGCAAGTCTAGATATGATTTAGGAACATCTAAAAGATCTAAAAAATATAAAAAGTAGGTTATTTTTTAGACTCTTATATGCTATCTGTTTGCCAAAGATACAGACAAAAGGTTGTGTGAGATAAGGTTTATATTACTATGTCTGTAATCGGCATAAGATCACTTTTCTATCGTATTTATCTATCGTAGATATTCAAAAAATTATTTATTTAATAATAAAAATCATATCGATAAATCGTTGACGAACGATAGACTTCCAACATAACGCATAGGACAGCTGTAATCAAAATAACATCATGGTGAACATAAAATACATGTTAATGGGGGAAGCGTTTCCATCTTCTCCGATTAAATCTGACATTATCTAAGGATGTCATGTAATCATATAGAAGAAATTTGTAGCATGTGGTTCTTACTGAACTGCAAGTCTGAATTCTACAATTATACGACTGAGAAAACATGTACATTTGTAATTATGCTTATACTTTTAAGCTTCTATATCTAATCTTTGTTATCTAATTTGATAATGAGATTTGAGTCGGTAGATTGGACGGCAAACTCTTGACATATAGGGTAAGGAAAAAAGATGGAAACTCTTAAAAATTTCGGAAAATATAAGTTTTACAAAAAAATGTTTCAGACAAAAATTATAAGGCTCAAAACGATGTATTTACTGATCTTATCAGTTTGACCTTGAATGGCGTTGCCAAGGGCAGGTCAAGATCAACTTATTTTTTTTAAACAGAAACCCCCATTTTTTATTATATCATCTTTTTCTACTAATTAATTTGAACAACTTTTGTCTGAAACATTTTTTTATTTGCCTAATATTTTTTGAGATATTTAAGGAAAACTCGGAAACTTTTTCAATATTTAACTTACGAATCTCGCCAACTATTTGTCAAAAGAAAAAAATGCTATTAGACCTTTTTATTCTACTTGGTCTCAAGAATATATTGTTACAATAACACCCTGACTTTTATTAATTTGATAATTTTGAAATTTCCAAAAGTTAAGTTAACAAAAGTTAGAGAACTATATATATATATATATATATATGTTCCAAGTAACGATAAGATTACGTTAATATTACAATATATTATATTGTAATATATTTCTCTATCAATAATGTCAACATTCACAAACATATTTACAAAGAAAGGGAAGAACAACGTAGAGAGAGGAATTAAAATATAACCGAAAGAAGAACTGGGAACGTCATATCCGTCCAACATTTCTGAAGAAATATTTCAATATCTCAATATCCGTTTCCGACTGATAATAGACGGCGCTGTATGACAAACTAGGTTATTTGAACTACTAGGCTGTTCTTTTTTGAGGAACTTTTATTTACTGGTGTGCACTAGTGCAATAAGTTAAACATACTGTCTGTCATTTGGCTCCTGACAATGCGCGTATGTGTTATTTTGCTATAAATGCAGAAGGTATAAAACAGTATAAATGAAGGGAATAGGTTAAGTGGTTCTAAATTTTTTTCTTTATTGATTCAATCTTTCTTCACAGATCTTTCTTTTTTCATCTTGCTCCTTTTCTCCTTCTACTATATAATTTATATTATATAAGGAAAAAAAATAGATATATGCATTCGCTTTATATAATATTTATATGTTATATATAAAGTGAGTGCGTATATTCATTTCGTTTTAAGTGTAAAAAGTGTAAATGACGAAAGTCGATTATCTCATAGGACACGTGGGTCCTTTCCGGAAGAGAAACGTAGAGAGCGTAGTTCAATGTTGTCGGGAGTGGTCAGGAGCTATCTAAAGCGTGGTCAGTGGCGAGAGCACGTAATCGCAAAGGAAAGGTGGCAAGCAATATTTCTAATAGGAATTAAGAGATATTCACATCTAAATAATACAGCACAAGATACATTTGTGCATTCTAAAGATTGTTCCAGTACAACTTGTATTTCTTCGGTATGTACTTATGCCATGTTTATAATGTAACCTTTTACTTGACCTACGGTTTCTTTCATATATTATATATTTTTGCAATTTCCACATATTGCTATAATAGCTATAACAACTCGTTTTTATTCCTTCCTCTAGTTCTTGCATGAAAAATTTTGTTATCACGAACAGAGTTTAAGTCATAATCCTTTTGTGAAATAAAGACATTGTATATAAAGGTTGGAACAATGAATTCAACATATGCTCAATTTTCAGTTGTACATACATACATGCAATTGAAAATGGTAGTAATAGATAATAAAATTGTTAAAGTTATATTATACTAACTTGTATGATTAAATTAAATTAATCAAAAAGTTTTATTTTTCAAGTTGAACTTTGTTGTATATTTGATAGAAATAAATCATTTATTAACTTTATTAAATTACTTATTAGTACATTAAAAATACTACAAAGGAAAAGAGAGAGAGAGAGAAAGAGAGAGAGAGAGAGAGAGAGACAAATATGTTAAAATAATTTCTTTTGATTGTATTATTGATAAATACATTTTGATTTTTACAAGTATAAAAACTAAAACTATCGTACAATATTGCTGAAATAGAAAAGAGAGTAACAAAAGAAGACAAAATATAATTGTTAATTAATCATCATATGGTAGAAAGAATAAAGCAAGATGATTGTTCATATGGCTTATGTATTTAATTGCTTGGTTATCTGCTTTGTAAGACTATTTCTAACGTTTTGTAGAACTTATAGAATCATTCCTTTAATATATGTTTGAATATGAGCAAGAAACAAATTTCATAGAATATATTGTATGTTTCACATAGCATTAGTATTCCAACGGCTAGAAGAGACACATTGAGGTACTAAGTGCTTCCATGATGTCAAATGAAACTGCACTCGAAGATGTTCGCAAGGTCATCCTTTCATTATTGGTAGCTCGACCAGATTTTACGCCGATCTCTGTTCTCGACAATGACTACTGTGAGGTAGAAGGCCGGCATATACCATGGCATAAATTTGACTTTGGCAGTACAGCTGATTTCCTACGAAGTATGCCACAATACTTTGAAGTTAAACAGATTGGTGGTGCAACTTATGTTCGTGGTATCGCTTCAGACAAGAGCAAGCACGTAAGCTCATTGGTTTCGCGTCAGAAGAGAAGCTTTCCAAGATGTACTCCTCGTTTGCGATCTACTCATAATTCGCGCGTACTACGCCAGAGACCAAAGATCCCTGCTGAGCAGTTGAATATTCTGGTACAATATGTGCAAAACTTTCCGAAAGGTGTTAACATAAATTCTGCCCTACTGATGATACAAAAACAACTGCCATATGTTAATTTCGTCCCGCAGGATATAAAAGACCAATTGCGGGAATTAAGACATAAATTATACATAGATGGTGATATAATTCGTCCAGTAGAGACAAATGGTTCAGCTTCCAAAACTAATATTTCAAGCAGTGACCAATCTTCGTTACCGACATCAGAGTTGATGTACAACGCGCCTACATCATCGAGTTCGAATGTTGTATTCACTGTTCCTGAAGAATATCACGACGATCTAAACATAGACGACGATGATTTCGTGCGTTCTAACAGCGTGCAACATCATTTAAGGCGACAGAAAACAGATGAACGACTTGCGTCAAGTCTAAAAGAATTCTCTGATTATGAACAGATGTTAAATTATTACGATACCTACAAGGACAGAGAGAAATACAATAACAATACTGAATACTTCAAGAACTCAGAAATAACTGAAACGAATAACTTATCGAACCTGATAAACGACAGGATACGGTCGCGGCTAGTGCAACTAATGCAGAAGTATCCAGACGGTATTCAGTGCTCGGAACTGCCAGAATTGTATATGAAAGAGTATAAGACGCCGCTGAATTACGCGGAACTGGGCTTTAACAGTATTTCCACCTACGTTTCTTACTTACCAGAAATTTTCTATATGACGCGAGAAAACGTGAACGGCGATTTTATATTATATAGCGTGGATATCAAGCTGAAACATCAGAGTGTTGTCGAAAACAGCAACCAAGGAAAAAGTTACTCTCAAGAGACAATATCCAAAACGAAGCCGATTACCATATCAAAATCACAATCTGAGCTATGTGAAACGGACGACGATGATGCGCCGTTCCCGTCGAATCTTGTAAATAACAAGTTCTACATTATCACGCTTGATAACATCTATATTTGCCTATTTTTTTAATTTATTTATATCTTAAAATTAGTTATAAGATATCTACTCCATAGCAAAGTTACTTTTCATTTACATTATGCTCTAATTCTAACAATTAGCAAAATTTCTAACATTTGCAGTAATTTCTAGTAATTATTCTAATTATCAATAAAACTGTTTTTATACTAATAGATGTTATCGTTAAGATTTACAAAGAATGCTTTAAACGTTAAGATGATTGCAGAATAATTACGTTTTATCTTGCAGTCTCCCGGCATATTAGATAAATTTGCGCCTAAAGATGTGACGACTTATAAAGACGTGTGTCATATATTGGTAACTGATTTGCAAAAAAGCAAAAAACAATATCTGGAAGTTTATGTTGTCGAGGTGTTCACACCGTCATTCTTTTGGATACAGCTGCGCAAAAACAAACGGCAATTCGAGAAGTTTATGGAAAATTTACAGTAAGTGCATCATATGATTGAAAACATACGATCTACAACATACGATGTGAGAATCTGCATCTGAATGTTACATAAATTTGAATTTCTTTTTGTTATTCAGCACTTATTACCAGCAGCATTGTGAATCATATAGAATCCCGAAACTCGCATTGCATCGAGGCCTAAACTGTGCGTGCATCTACGCTGGAATGTGGCATAGAGGAGTCATCAAAACTGTAAAACCAGACTACAGAGTCACTGTGAGTAAGAATATGATTCGACGTGCACACGAGAGATCTATTAGACTAAGACTGTGATTTAATTGATAATAGTAATTATAATATCTTATAATCACCGTGTTCGATATAATATTGTTAATAATTGTCTCTCAACAGATAATGTTTTACGATTATGGAACTCAGAAAACATACGCACCCGAAAATGTGTATTATTTAAAAGAAAATTTCTCCAAACTAGAGGCACAAGCCATACCTTGCGGTTTGTATAACGTCAAACCATATGTAGGAGATCGTTGGAAAAAAAGTATAACTGATCGTTTCACCGAAAGGATCTCTGAAAGTCTTTTAGCTGCCAGCATAGTCTCTGTTGACCCCTCGGTAAGATAGTCTCTAAAGTTTTTAGCATTGAGTCATATTTTTAGTTTAATCTTCGATGCCAGTAACCAAAGACAGAGGAAAGAAAGTTTCTTTCATCGAGTATGCGATATTATGAAATAGAATTATTTTTGCGAGCAAACAATCATGTTGCAAAAGTGTAAAAATTATTATTTATCTCTGTTTTTATAGAATAATTCCATGTTAGTCGTCCTGACCGATACGAGCGAAGAGGAGGACGTGCATATAAACGATTGGTTAGTGCGAGAGAATCTAGCGCGATGTGGGAAAATGGTGCGTACTAATAAAAATTTTGCGTTTGTAGAGTATTATATATGTCACATTGCTAATACATCTAACTCTGTCAAAAAGGAAAGCGTGGTAGTCCGTACAAATAAAGCGAAACGCAATGAGAAACAACATAAATTAAACAATATAATGAGCGAAACTTTTGTAAAAAATGTTAGAGCCTTGTGCAAAGTCCCAGATAGAAATGTTGATATTAACGTTAATAGACAAAAGAATATGGCTGGATTGACAGATTCTTCATTGGATATTTTATCGCGATCGAGAGATGATTCAACAGATAAGAACAGACCGAGAAGATCCAACAGGTTAGCCGCGTTGGTCGAAGTAGTGAAAGCAAAGCGCGGCAAGCCGAAAATGAATGAAGAAATGTCACAAACAAATCCAGACGCGAAGGTAGAAGAACTGCAAAGTAACAATGTGTTCGATAAGTATCTTAATCACGAACAATTGAAGAAAGTGTTGAACAGAGATTTTGATGAGAGGAACTCCGACAATGAAACGAATATCAACGAAAAAGACTTCGGAACGTTTCACAGTATGTATGGCGGATACGGTGACATGATTCCTTTCGATTGGTCATTGGTTAGGCAAACGGATTCTCCTGCTACCTCATCGTCGTGTAATTTGAAGAATTCGAGCAAAACAAATACGTGCTTGAACAAAATGAAAAAAATAGAGTTATTGCCGGTGAATCGACATGATCACAAGGCACATGATCGGATGAAAAAGATTACCAAGTCGTATCTTCTGGACATAGCTCATATGGAAAAAGAGTATTTCTTGGCCGATTGTAATATTGATCGTGATAACGAGGATGTTTCGCAGTCCGTGGCGAGACTAGGACGCAAATTGAAAACACAAGATGATAACTGTACGGAGATAGCTATGTCGAGAAAGATATACGATAAGTTGCGAATGCACACTTGCGCTAAAAAATCTTCGAGTTGTGATGAAGTCTCTTCATCAATGGACGAGATAAGTATTGATGAGTTGTGCACGGACAGAAAATGCAAAACGCCCGAAATACACAACGATCAGAAAATAGAGAACACAAATCCCAACTTAGAGACTAAGGAACTTACACAAGAGTCCAATTTATCTTCCAGGGATCTATTAGATTCTAATATAAAAAAATATCAACACAACCGTAATAAGACTTTCCATGTCAGATACCAAAACCTGCCGGATCGTGTAAAAGATACAAAATTATATTGGAATTCAAGCTCGGAAAGTAATGTGAAAGGTTGGTCGAGTAGCGATCCCTACCCGTTGTCTTGCTACAGCAGTACTGATGAGACAATGATCTCGTCGGATGACGATCAAAGAGAAACATTTAGTCGAAAGAACGTTATGTCGCGTTTCAATAAACTGCAAAGCTTTGCAACGAAATCTGCATCCAAGGAGTTTATGTCCACAAATAGTAAATCGAACCTCGAAGCGAAAGATAACCCGGATAGCTGTAACGATGAACCTTTTTCCAACGTTATCTATCTGAAGCTAAAGCGACGAATGAATCTTTTAGACGATTCTCGTGCGTCCGACGTGCTACGACATGTGTTGAAGGTACAGCAGAAATGGGATGCTGATGAACTGGATTCCGACGATCTGAGTGATCATGAAAACAATATAAAAAATAATGTACCAATAGAATTATCACCAAAATCACTATTAGAACCGTCATTAGAACAACCAGCAGAATCACCGTTAGAATCACTATCAGAACCACCATCAGAATTAGAACTATTATCAGAATCATCTTCAGAACCATTATTAGAAACTCCATTATATCAAACGATAGTTGATAACACGGTTGTAACAAACGATTTAACGGATAATGCGGACGACACGAAAATGTCCATCGCAACGATTATGCCGAGATTTTTCGATGATGAAAATATAGAGTCCGACGGTAGTATCTGGGACGTTTGCTCAGGGCTTTAATTTTGCTCTTATTCTTTGTTTACTTCGATTATAAATTAGCGTAATTGCGTCTTGAAGAATAGATCCAAAGAAATTTGAAATATATCCTAAAGGACAATTATATCACGAGACGAATAACTCGGATGTCGATACCTTTTTTTTTTATCAGACTTGTAATTTTGTGGTGTTTTATTTTTAATGTTTTGTAAAGTAATCTTTAAATATTTAGGGATATTCAAATCTGTATATGTGTAATATTTTATAATGTTATGATACGACTATAGGGCATGTTGTCTATGATTATAATTACTTTATACAACTGATATGTAGACATATATTAATGAGTCTAATGAAATCGGTCTTGATCACAACACGTTTCCTTGGCGTTATGATGGAGGAGGAGGAGGAGGAATGGAATGGTCACTGTGATTTTCTTGAAAACTATTAGGTACATTTGGTTATAAAACGGTTTAAATACTTTGTATCGATACATTGTGGAATGTAATCGATGATCAAATAAGAAAACTTTTACGAATTAATTGAAAATAAGCTCTCTCATTGAACTATGTTCTAAATTTCGTCAAGAGAAAGCGCCCCAACCAACGTATTGAGATCAAATATACAGACAGAAAACCGTTATTAACATTATAGGATAAATAGGGAGATATATGTTTATTATTGACGATTCTCAGTAACTTCTCAGAAACAGCTTTTGATTTTTAAATCATTAACTGCATTTTGTCTTTTTTAATAGAAATGGATACTTTTATAGTCATGGAGTCATTGTATTGATAGTACTTATATTCATTGCAACTTCTGTATAGACATTTTTTTTTTTTTTTTACTCAATCGAATTGAAAGACTTACTGAACTGTCAAAAAAAATAATAAATCCGAATTTAAATAGATATTTATTGTTACAATACATTCAAAATATTCACCGTGCTATCCAAATTTCCTTGAATTTTTTAACTGTTAGTTCTTTTGCAAAAAATATCTTTTATTATTCTTTATACTATTTTTCCATATTATAGTATATTGAATAGTTATTTGTTTATTCTTTTTTTGGATGATCTAAATATATCAGATTACTCAATTTAATATTAGATCACATATTAGAATTTAGTTAAAATTTTCAGAAAAACCGGAAAAAAATAATATTCTTCATTATTTATCACTATTTATTAAAATAATTGTATGAAGATTATAAAAAGAACTCAAACAAATTTTTGATGAAGATCTAATATCTTGAACAAATATTAATATCAATATGATGAACATTTGAAATAGTTATTGTACTATCATTACCTATTTAAAATATGCGATAATTTGGATAATGAATGAGTATATTCTTTTAGTCTCTAAAAGTTTCCAGGAAAAACCAGTGATGAACCATTTGCCAAAGAAAGAAAGTAAAAAAGATCTTTTGTATTATATAACTAATAATTATACTAAAATATATCTGTATAGTTATAAAATTATCTCTTTTTAAGCTTATATAGTTTATATTGAAAATTTGTGGTCTTGTAACTTTTTGATAATTTAGTACACATTTTTGCTGCTAGAATGCAGAATAGATATCTGTTTTATATATCCTCTGTAATCTCCGGGAAAAATTTGAGCATTATGTTTACATCGTGCGTACATAGCGTTGTGTAATAAATGAACATTGAAATGCTACAAGTGCTGTTTTTATTATCACTACTTTCATAAAAAAACTCAATGATCTCATAAAGTGATAATTTTTCCTGGGTTCTTTTGGTCTGACTTACTCTAAAAGTCATCATTGAGCATAATTCTGAAAATGTTGATAATACTTTTAAGAAGAGGTATCACTTTATTTGATCTAGACATTATTTTTTTTTGTTTTCCTATATCTAGGGTGATTCTGTCGATATGGCGAGCTTAATGGAGTACGTAGTACAGTACAATTCTAATCACCTGCCGTCTTATTGCTACGCGGAGGAGACTTTGATGGCCGATAACCGTAACATATCCACGACTGCGGAGGAACTTAATGAGCCACCTTTAGTCTCACCTAGACCGAGCTTTGCGCATCACGAGAATAATCAGCAGCCACGGTCAAAGTTGTCAGGTTTTGTGTCTCCCAACGAATACATTGATCGGTTTAACACACCGACGAGTTATCATCAGTCCAACGTATACTCCAATCTTGAGAGCGTCTCGCCGCCAGTATTCGGCGATTTGATGGAGGACATAACAAGCAATCCGTTTCTAAATGGGAATCTGAAGCTATCCGAGGGAAGTGCAACATCGGACGACCATTACAACGTCCAGAGACAAATGTTCATACAATTCATGCAGGAGAGCGCGATGCTGCAGTTACGTATAACCAGAATGTTCCGTGAAGTAATGAATTCTCCGCCGATAACCGACAACTTATTCACAAATTACATCACGCTGCTATACCAATTTAATAATGTCCTCAAGATGCTCTTAAAGGAAATGGAGAGTCGATTAGCAAACGCTAATCCAACGTCCAACTCATCGCGAAATCGCGCAAATGACACTGGCCCGTCACCGAAGGCTCATACTTACTTCAATCCTAACTGCGAGAGCTTCGTAAAGCAGGACAACATGAATTTATCGAGACCAATATCGTCGCCGAGCTCCTCTTCGACGGCAAATCTGTTCGATCATCACACGAAATACCACTGTGCTGAGTTGCCCACTGCTGATGTCACGAACTTGTACGCAGCTTATGCTCGCAGCTTTAAGCAGGCTGCGAATCACGGTGTCAGTTCGCATCAAGCCGACACAAACAATCCGCATATTCAACAGCCTCCTATAAGCTCTTGCGCTCCTCCGGAACCTCCGATATACAATAGTTATGAAAACATCGCCGAAGGTGTTAATTCGCACATCGACCAGCTAAATAAAAATATGCCTTCGATGATGAACAACGCAGCTTCATATGCGAATATTTCTGGCGTCAATCCGCCTAACTACCAGTATAGCGCGAACAAGTTCGCAAGTAACGCATACTTGCAACATGGGAACACTTGGGAAAACAAAGATTCGACGAAGTCGAAGGAAACGAATCCGTTCAGACTTCATCAGGAGATTGGAACGCAGGTACCGGCGACACAGAGCAAGAACAATTACGACATGACGAATCTTATATCATTTCTGCCCGATATAAATCTGCAGAGCCACACTCAGACGGTGAATGAAAACACAAACACTCCCGTGAAAGATAATTTCTACGGGGCTTATAACAATACTGCGAGCAATCCGAAGGTCGTCTCTGCACCTCCGGGGTTCAAATTCAATGTAAACAGCAATGGTGATTACGCGCCAAGAATCGTCTATGAAGGAAGTCCGGTAATGTACAATGTACAGAAGAAATCAGAAGAGCAACAGTTGCCTTCGCACTCGGCCACGCAATTACAAAGCAACAACGTTGCCATGATCGATGTCGATGTCGATCATGCCGCATCTTTGTCCAGTGCAGTCGATGTGTCTGTCGTGAACGACGAGACTTACGTTACACCAACAACCTACGCGCAAAACTCACTACCGACGACAAGCAAGAGGAACTATTATCAACCGGATATCAGCTCGAATGTATCATCACAGCACGTTTCGCTGGAAGGTTGGAACGGTGCAATGTTCCAAAACAGTGATCCAGAACAAGATCATAACAAGACATTCATTTCGCCCACGATGAACCAACCGATCGATTCGTTGTCGCAGAAAAAATGGCATTGCGAAATTAACAAAGAATTCATGATTGGAGACCCGTGCGCAACGACTAAATCGAATTTTACCCTCCCTGTATTTGATAACAGTGAGGGATCGGCGATGACTACTGCGTGTGCGAACTTGCAGAATTCGTCTCACGAAAAGGATCAAGACAAAACGACGACACCTTACGACTACAGCGCGTCATTGACAAATTTTTTATTTCAGCGGATTCGTACGTGCGGTACCGCTGATCATATCTCTTTCTTATTGAATGACTGATTTGTAGCATCTTGTGTTTTTTGTCACTTGTAGATACTGTTAAAGGAGTAACAATTTTATTTCATATGGATGATATTGGTTGGATGTTGATGCATGAATTTGTAGAAACTTTCACCAAATTCAGCAGCTGTTCTCATGTAATAGCGTTATTAGAAGCAGCGAATATATTGATTTCGTTTAAAGAAGTCCACAGATATGATTACCCGGTGCAGTTTTCACAACTTGACAGGTAAACTTTTGAGGAGCTTTTATTTGTTTATTTTTTCCATGCAAATAGTTTAAAAATTTGTGTGTTGTGTGTAAGTTTTCAGTTACCAAAGATGTTAATAAGATGTTAAATATCATATTAATAGAGAGCTTTATGTGTGAGTATGTGTGTGTAATTATAAAATTTCGTGATATATATGTTTCGTAACTACACACTCATTTATTCACACTTATAACATAGTGTATACAGTGATCTTGTTTTGTTTTAAAATTATATAATTAATTTTCTTTTTTAAACGAAAATAATCTTTTTTGGTTTTTTAGTTATCCCTTAAATGTTGCAAGAGATTCTGAGAATCATATTATTTCTATTAATTTGATTTCTTTGCAAGCTGCGTTAGCATTGCTTTGCAAGTTGAAAATAATCTCACGTAAAGAGATAGAGAATATTTTCAAGAGGACCAAAATGTTCACTAACAATCCAGTTATGATCAATATGTGGGTAAGTATTCTCAATACATAATGGAGAAATTTCTTCTTTCTTCCATTATCGTACGAATCATATGATCGTACTGTCAATCATATTTTATGTAAATATGAAATATTGAAGTGAAATAAGGTTTGTTTAAGTATTAATTTTGTTTCAGACATTAATATTTACATATAAGAACTTAAGAGAGCATATTAAGTAATGTTACGTGGAATATGGAATATAAAATTTTAAAACATGTGTTACCTCCAAGCACAAATAGATTTTGTTAACATTAGAACATGAAAACAACTTGCAATTCATCTAATTTCATTGAATAATTGATTTTATATCGGTGAATTCTGCAGGATAATATGGATCTTTTTGTTTTTTTTTTTTTTTTTTATTTCAGACTTAACAGTAGTAATATATAGTATAATGACAAGTAATAATTATTTTAAACATAATCTATTTGTGAAATTCTCGATTTATATGCGTTATATATCTACGTGTATATTAAATTCGTATTACTGCATTGTATATGATTATACATGACTACGATAGTCATAGTAAGTCTTCTAGTAAGCGATATTTAATTTCCATTATCATTTCACCTCTCATTCCACCATTAAAGCCCTTATTGTGTATCTCTAATTAATAGTTAAATGTTTAACTATTAATTTTAATTTGATAGCATCAAGTATAGCTGATAATTTTTCTACGTGATTAGGAATGATAAAATATACAGGAGGATAAAATTATATTATCAGTGACACAGTAATTATTCGTATATATGTTTTTTTGTTTTTTCGTATATATGATTAAAAGTGACAAAATATACATAAGATGCATTTAATTTTCATTATTGTTTATTCACTTCTCATTTTATCAAAGAAAAAGATTTAATGAAAATTTCTAAAAGATGAACCATTGATAAATTTAATTTGATAGCATTAAGTATATGTAAGAACTTTTTGTATAAAATTGTTTAGAAAGTAAGGAAATATAAATTAACGAAATATTAACGAAATGTATTGATTATTAAGAGAAACGTGATGACTATATAAATTTCCCATATTACACGAAATGTTGATAAACATCGACGGTTACGCAGCGATTACATGATATTGTCAATATTTGTTAATTTCTACTAATGTTAATTTTAATTTATTGTATTCAATTCTGCACATTAGTAAATATTAAATAATAATGTGTTCTATATATATTTTAAATTACACGATTTTTAGAAAAAACTTAGAAAATAAAGATCTAACTCTAGATTGTTGTTGAGTTATACTATTATTTTATCTTTTATCAATAGAAAAGTTATATATTCGTAGTAGACTTCGATTAATAAAGAGAAGTTTCATTTAAATCATTAATCTAAATCCAAGATTTAAATCCGTCGAAATTTCTTCGATATATCGATATATAATAAATAACAGCTTTTTCCTAATATTACCACTAGGTGGCGCCAGGCAGCCTCTTATTAACGTATTTGTGAATTCAATAGACGGCTATTTTCTCAAAGTGTAGTTGTCAAAATCTCCGCTACGAACCGCCACCAAAACTACGTCTATTAGAGGAACGACAGAGACGTTTGAAGTGTCGTATCAATTTATAGCGATTCTACGTTATTTCGTGACTCTTCTAAGAGTTTTTAGTTTGATTTACCACTTACGAAAACATGGTTGAGGAAGAGCCAAAGCTGACAGGCTTGTCGAAGTATTTCAATAGTATTACCGACCGTGGCCGAAGAAATGTGAGTATTATAACCTCTAAGTCATCGTGAGCAACGATGTTCGAATTCTCAGAACATTTTTGTACTTATCTCATATATCTTAAAATATGTATTTACTTTTACAGGTATCAGTGGCCACGCTTAGTTCGGTCGCATTGATCGCCCTATACTTGTACTTGAAGCCGAAGAAACAAAAAGTAAAAGAAAATTGAACATATTACATAATGATATGTTGTGTAGTGCGATAAAATGACGATTCTTCGAATAAATATCTAAATGATATTTTCGAACAAATTCATTCTGTATGCCTGATAATTTTCATTATATATTTTTATTATCTTCGTAAATGATGGGCATTGCCATAAATGCCCATCAATGAAAGGTAGTACAGCATATGATGCAGTTGACGATTTCTATTCAGAGGGAAAAAATGGTCATTGAGAAAAATCTTCAAATTGCCAGCTATGTTGATAATTAAATAAAATATATGTTGTTCTAAGATATGTCGTATTACCTATTTTAATATATATATATATATATATATATATATATATATTATACACATATATGCATATATTGAAAATTAAATATATATTTTATTTTGTACTACTATTTATTATTGTACTTTATTCAAGGATTTAGAAAAGTACAGTAAGTCGACAGTCTTAAATATGGAATTGATTCTCTGTTATAAGGTTTCACTATACTATCCATGGCTCACTACGCTGAATACTGAGTACATATAAGAGTGATAGTTGTGTTTCATCACAAGGAAGTTAAGTTATTTGCTTGGTAGTGTTTGTGTGTTGGCTTAAATTTATTTTATATACAATAAAATTTATTTAAAGCACATTTGAATGGAAAAGAGGTACATTTACATAGGTGGTGAAATATATTTCTCTAGCTATCTTCAATTAAATTAGATCTCTATTAATTTATGAGGAACGGATTTGTACGATATGCTTTGACAGCGATGGAATAGAGATGTTGGCTGGAATGAAGTCCTAATTCTGAAAATATTCTGCTACATTAAAAAAGACTAAAACTTAACTAAGACTTGCAAACAACTTACCTCAATTCTTATTTACAGATTGTGTCTATTTTTTGGCTAAATAGATCTAAACAGAAAGTTGGGGAATATTTAATAAGTATTTCATTTCAAAGTTTAGAGAGAGAATTCTACGGAATAGATGTTTGCTGATTCTTTTTGCTTTATCTATTTCCCGCAATATAAAAAAAGGGTCAAAAGTAATCGAATTAGCGCCTTTTTTCCCAGCCATTGATTATTATTAATTGATGATTCCTAAATTGTATTTACAAGTATATCGAGATAGCGGTAAGATATGACAGACAGCGCGTTCACGAGATGGTAGAATCGCACATTATATACAGATCGTCATTGTCATATTAAGTATATGAATATATTTACTGGATCGATAGAAATTCCATGACTAGAATGGTGAATCTCTTGTCGTATAGCTACGAGAGCGTTTTGTTTCCCTCTGTACTTAAATTTGATTTCTCCTTCGTTTCTTTCGTTAGCAAGAATATCTTTATATCGGAGAAAATCGTAAAGATAAATCATAATATCTTACAATTATCTTGGATTATGATACAAACGCCGGATCGGAGCTTTGCTTCTAGTTTCGCGTTGTCGCAGTAATCCCTCAGTAGGGAGCGTTATACAAGCTATAAATAAATAATTGTCGCAATAAGAGAAAAGATGTATTTAAAAGTCAATATAGTTTCCGACATGAGAGTATCGGTAATATAAGGAGATAGAAATATATTTACAATCCTTAGATTAATGCCTAGCTATTAAATAATTTTCTTTCCTTTTTAATATACATATACATTTTTTTAATATATACTCAGTTGCTCGCGTATGGGTGAGAACGTTGTCTGTTCGGTGCGGGTATTACATGCTATTCGTGATATATTCGATACATTTTACATTTATATTTCGAGAGCACATCGAGGATAATAATACCTACGTTCCATTTCATTATGCAATTTATATAGTTTTCCTTTTCGAATTTATATTTCTAGATAAAAGGAGATATATGTACAATGTCGATCTCTTCGAGTCTACGAACCAAAATTTAGAAAAATACGTCGATAATAACTAATTGGATTTTTGTCTGAGCATGAAATTATGTTGAAAAATTTGTCAACGGACATCTCGAAGATAATACCGACATCCTTTACATCATCCGGAAGTTCGTTATTCGCATAGTTGCGCGATCACACACAGCACTCAATTGTTGGCTAATGAATATTGCTCCGAGCTTCACGGAGCGAGAATCGGAGAAGGTAGGAGGGGACTTCCGTCCTTTACAGCCGAGATGGAAGTCCTCTCGAGGGAATGTCGCGCCTTTCGTTCTTGTACTTTTGACTTGGACGAAATCCGATTTATTTTCTCGGGAGAACTAAGTACGTGACCGACTCGATCTCCCTGCAGAAGTTCGCGAAACCTCTCCGCTTCGTTCTGAGTTAGCGGATTCCCTCTTAACTTCTCCTTTGTGCAACACTTTCCTCGCGAAGCGGAGCTTCCGATCGTGAAAGCACTTTGTTAACCTGCACTTTGTTTACAGTGTACATATATATATATATATATATATAATTTCTTTATCTCAACATGCACCCATGCGTGAGTCTTGGATCCTTTGTTTGCGAGAATGTGGAAGAGGATATAGGTTGCGAGAAACGAAGAGAGCTTTGATCAATGGAAAAAGCTCTCGAAAGACGCGGCAGAGCTTATTCTATTGACACCAGTCTTTTATCACGAAGAAAGGAAGTTTTCTATTGCTTAAACCTATCGAATCAGCAATTAGCGTAATTCTGACAATCAAACAGAACTCCCCATTCGGCGGACGAGGGAGTTCAAGACGCGACATCAAGATCTCAGCAGCGATGTCTCCTCACACAACGTTTAAAACTGGATCGTCCCAAGGCGAGCGGGGAACTTCCGCTCGAAAGATTATCGCTGCAGGAGACGCAGAGTTACTCGGTCCTCCTATAAGATGGTCTTTCACGGTACCGAACCTACAAGAGATATTACCCTTAACGACCCATTTTCTTATATCGAAGTCGCGCTATCCCGTGGGATTACAGCGTCCGAGCACGAGAGGGTGGATTGGTTCGAGCTTCTCCCGGGGGAACAATAATATCCGCTGTCCACCGCGGCGCGAAATCGCCCTCGTCCTCTTTCTACTATCCATTCCTATCCTATCCTGATTAGTGGACATTTCATTGAGGCTGCTATAAGAGAGTTCTCCAGGACGAAGGATATACACGGAGAAAGTCAATATAGAACGTACTATACAACGCCGTTCTTCGTCTTCCACCTGCTCCACCCTGCGGATCTGTTCTTGACAGCCGATACTAGGATTCTTGGCAGGACTCTTGCTTGAGTAATGAAAATAAGGAACGTCCACACGTCAGTCGTCCACCGTGTGGCGTGGAATGGTCCATCTCTCGCCTGCGCTGCTCGACCCGACCAGACGACGTCTCGATAGGAATCCCGGTTGGACGATGAATCCAAGAAGAAACATCGAACTACGACGGCCCGCGACGGACATTTTCCATCGTCGTTACGCTTATATTACCCACTTCAGCAACATCTCCGGATGGATCGCTCGTCGAGAAACGCAAGATCAAGAACGCGAGAAACGACGTTATCCGCAGGATACAACATAGGTCTGTCGTTTTCCTCCTCATCTCGCGATTCTTCGACTGATAAGGAAGCCGATCGAAACACTTGGCTGACATCTTCTAGAAGGATGAATGTCTGGAACGATAACAGCTATCGCGTCGAGTTACCCTTCTGCTTCACCATCTTCAATCGATCCAAGGAAAACAACATTTGACCGGAGCGCCCTACTGACCAACTTCTGATTGGATAACGACATAAATGGAACAGTCAGTCCTCGCTACAGCGTGGAGTCGTCGTTCTCCTTTTTGCTGTTCCAGCCGTTCTGGCCGCTCGACGCCCTGGACATCTGACTGGGACTTCTCGCTGGGCTCTTTGTCGGATAATAAACGCAGGGCCCGGAACTGGCCGGTCTGGAAAGCTTGATGCTTTGCCTGGTGCTGCCGTTGGAAACGTGGACGTTACCATGGATCAAGTTGTTGTTTCGATTGATGGTGTTACTACGGTTGAGATGACCGAGTTGCCTGACCGAGTTCCTCAGCTCGATATTGGTCGTGTTGGTGACGATGGACTCATCGTATGTCTGGAACTCCGGACTGTCTCGGTTAGGACCGTGCAGCCGCGCCGAGCAAAAGAGCTTAAGAAACGTCCTCTTGAACTTGCGACCGAAGATCACATAGATGATAAAGTTGATGCTGCTGTTGATGGTCACCAGGAGATTGCCGATCTGTACCATCCATCGCGGCGGGTCCTCGATGAACGTCTCGTGGATATTCGAGGCCAACGGCAGGATGTTGCAAATCAGGAAGACCACCACCACGCACAGTAGCATCGTCGCCAGGCCGATCTCGCGGCGCTGGTGACGCGACAGTTGCTGCAGGTCCTTGTTCGCTTTCCTGACCTGCGGATCAATGAAGAGAAAACGGTATTGTAACGAACGTAATATTTTTTTAATTCTCCGCGAATTTTTTCCTCGGGGGAGAAGTACAGAAACAATATATAATTGTATATTAATTTAATAATATTTTTATATCATTTTACTATTATTAATTATATATTAGTTTGATTACATACGTTACTTTTCGCGATTCCACTCATTCATAATGGTGAGAAAAAAGCGCAATATTATATTAATTAGCACAATTATATATTAATTTAGTCAAGTTGTGTATTCTCTATACGAGACATTTTTTTCCCAAAGGATACACGTCGCGGTTCATTCAAGTAATTCTATAGTTGTTTGTTTTAGCAATTGTTATGTCGCTTGTTCGTTGGGGGCATAATGTGAAATGTCGCCTTGGGAAAGAGAGAAAGTTCCATAAAGGTTTAATTACCCGGAAAGTTACCTTAAAAAAAAAGCACGAGTTTAATGAGTGTGCGCGAGTTCGAGAAAATCCAGTACTATTTATTTTCTCAATGTCAGCTCTGTAATTTAAAATACTGTTCGTATAAAATCCGCAATTGCGGCTTACGTTCTTTCGCTCTTTCCGAGCATGTCCAAGATCTGCAAGGACGTAATTAAAAATATTTCACGTCGGACTCTAAATCTCATGTGGCACGGTTTTCCGGTGCTGCGGAATCGGATGCCGTATACGCGAAGTAGAAAGAAACGTTTCGGGTCAGACGCGGTGGGGAAAAAAAATTAGCGCGAGAAGACACCTTTCTGCCTGGCCAATGTTAACTGAATCATTCGCCTTGAGATTTTTTATTTGCAAATTCTGTTTTTTCGAGTTCTCTAGCGCCAACTCTTTCTTTCGAAAGATTCGCAAGCTGATACACAAGCTATTCCCAACAAGTTTCCTACATGCCGAAGACGAGAAATCACCATCGTCGTGATCCATCTATCTATTCACTCCACGTGCTTTCAAGTTACCTAAGTGATCACAATATTACTTAAAAGACGAATGCTTTATCGTCACCGGGCGAAGCTCACCGACGCTTTGCGAGAGAAATATATATTTAATAAGTGCCAGGGGTATTCTAACAAGAATTATGATAGCCACAATTTACACAATTTACACATTCCGCGAGATGAATAACGCGGAAACTGCCGCGTTATAAGATTTACGAAATCCTAGGACACAGAGATGCGTCTCTCCCGACGGACCGTTACCGTTCGGCCATTATGACACGCCGGCGACGTAAAAAAGCCGGGCGTAAAAAGCTATTTAAACAGTATAGAAGGGAGAGGGAGATCGATCGCCGTGTCTCAGAGGAAAAATTCCGCGACTAATTACAGGCTCGATGACGGAGGGTTAATATTAAATGAGCAAGGAAAGGAAGGATTCACGACGGCGTACAGAGCCGGCGCGTCTCGAGGAGCGAGGAAGTCGTCGGGAAGAAGGAAGTTCGTCGAGGACCGACGGAGAGGATCTCCGGCGTGTCGACATCACGACCCTCGGACAGCTCCCCCGGCGCAATGGCGGCCAACGGCAACGACTCCCTGGACACATCGAAAAGCCGCCGGCTTCGCAGCGAACCGCGCGTATTATTTCGGCGGGAACTCCACGCGAGAGAGAACTACGCGGTGATTGCCGTGCTACGACCGATCCGCTTCTCCGTCGGATTTACGATCGTTCTTCAGCGAAACCGTATCCCCCGTGCGGCTGAGTCTGGCTGGCGGATGATGATGATGCTCTTCGCGCCGGGAACGAAATGGTCTCCGGTGAAGGAGGAGCAGCAGGCGAGAGGTGGAGAAGTCGTCGGTGAATTTTTAGCGCTTGCTAAACACGCTTGCATTCTACTCCGACCGACGCATCCGCGTCGTTTGGAAGCGCGCGAGAGAACACCGAATAAATGCCAGACAATCTGGAATATTTCACTATCGAGCGATATCGCGGCGCAGCGAAGGAGACGTTCGCCTGCGAGAAGGATCACAGACGATATATTCTCCTTTTCTCCTCCTCGCCCTTTGGAGTTTTATTTTACACACACGGAGGAAAAGATCGGCTGGATTTATGCGACAAAGTTTACGAACGAAACACGTTCCGGTGAAAGGAGGCAGGGTTTTACGAACCAGATTCGGTCAAACGTGTTTGATTCAAGCGATTCTATTTCTCCGTGTATTCTACACAACGAAAGGAGGATAAAAGAGCGCGAAGTACGGAATAATCGCGAGGATAATTGCGAGGGTAACTACAACGTTGCGGCAGAGTCCCTGGAGCCTGACAATGGCACCGAGGGTGTCTTCAGGAAAACGCAGCTGGCGAATGAAGATTGATACGACATGACGGAAGATCGAAGACATGATTTATGAAACAATGGATCGGAAATTCACAATTTTAAGCTCCCTTCCTGTCCCTATTATATTCGTCTCAATTTGCTGATTACTTCTTGTTTTTCCATCTCTTCAACGGGACCTGCTCTGCCTTCCGACTTCACAACTTCGGTTTCCGAAGCGCGGCAGCGAGTTCCGTCACTAAAACAATTACGAGGACGCGAGCTGGCAGGGCTAATTATTATTAAGACTCGCGTCGCGCGGACAGATTATTATGCACGCCGCGTGTCGCTGAATTGCCGCGCGTTATCTCGGGTTACCGCATCCGGTTCAGTTGCTACGCTCTCTTCGAGGTACGCGCGGCAGATTATTAATAGAATTATTATACTCGCCCTCTAGTACACGTACACACACACACACACACACACACACACACACACACACACACACACACACACACACACACACACCGTGTCTCGAGACGAAAGGCGAATCGCAACTAGCACGAGTACATTACGTATATCAAAGTACAGCGAACGTCCTGAACTTCAGCGCATGTGGCTTCAACCTTTTGTCCGCCCACGTATACTGAAGAGTCATATTTTTAGACTTTTATGTCGTCTCCTTCTCGCGATGAACTTTCGTCCCACGAATGGCGTGGAGAATTCACCGCACAGAAAATTGAACAGCTCGTTGAGATCAGTTGTTGAAGATCAATTACGGCGAACATTATTTGAGGGAACAGAGTCAGTCCAGTGACGCGTGTCGTAAATCGACAGTCTACGCGTCGTTGAAGAATTCAGTTACTCATGCTAGGATCGCGAGCTCTTTGATATTATTTTCATTCCAACCTTCCCGCGGATTTTCTCTACGTTCCGAATAAAGACGCGAAAAGTGCATTCGCTCCATTTTACACGCGCGCAAAACGCTACGAAGTTTCGGCCGCGTGGGCTTTCGCGTGGTAAGAATTTCAAGTCGAGATTAGAGAAGACGGTATACCAAAGAGAGCCTCTCTTTCTCCGTTCGCTCCACATGAATATTCTCATTCGAGTCTGTTCGCGCGTTCGCCTTCATTTCGTGTTCTGATCCGCTCGCATAAAGTCATCGGAAGTTATACCCCGAAGAATACCCTCCCGCCGAAAACCGACGCCCTGATCCCGGAATTAAGGACGGAGTTCGCGGACTCTGAAGTTTCGCGATAAGGGAAAGCCGAACGAAATTGTTGTCCTGCGACATCTCGCCGTCTTTGTAATTTCAGACCTTCCTGGAATATAAATAATTCGATTTATATACACATACACATATACGTGTATACGATCTATTTTGGGTGACTCGCGACCGAATCCTGACGGCCCGATGACGGAGGTATTCGGAGTCCAGAGGTATCCGGATCTTCACGTGATATAATTCAGATTATCGCGCGCGCATCATCTCCCGCGAGAGATAACGCGATCGTAACTCGGGGAAAATTATCCGCGGGGCTTCGCGTTAATGTTCAGCGAACTAATGGCAGCGTTAATTTCTCTTTCTCTTCTCGCAGGATCTTCTGAATCGTGTGCGAGAGAAGAGGCAGGGCAGGGAGATGGGACGCGCGGGGACACGTTATTACATCCGCTACGTGCATTGTCTCGAATTATTTATATCACCAATTTCAATATTTCATTTAGCGCGGCAATTGTTTTGCGACGTTTCATTAGCGCGTCAGCTTTTGCCTCACGAGTGTCTCGCGCTATATTATTCCGCGTTGCTGCGGGGGGATGATATTGCCCGCGTCTGCAGCTGTAAGTCGGCACGTGCGGGGGTGGCGGTCCGTGAATTTCGCCGCCCCGTACTACGTTGCCGTACGTGCTCGGCCCGCGAAATTCGGCCGCGCGTCTGGCCGCTTCCGGACACACGCGGAACGGACTTATACACTCCGGCGAAGCTTTATTGGCTTGGCCGTCTTATTATTCGTATTTTACGTCGCGCTCTATCGACGAGTCGTAACGCACGCCGGTCTTATTGCGGTACATCGGTTTTATCGCGGCTTATTGCGACGTCCCCCCTAGAAAGAAGTTTTAATAAAACAGACCAGTCGCCGGGGAAAATGTTGGCCGGCTCTGCCGGCTGAGCTGTGAGCGGCACGTTGCTCGATATTTCGCGTTCGACCAACCTTTCGCCTCGTGTCTCGTACTTGAGAGAAGCGCGTTATCGTTTTCCTCCCGCTCTTTTATCCCCTTCCGGCCCTGAGCTTCATCGGCCAGACGCTCGGTCGTTCGATTCGCAGTTTCGCGATAACAGGTGAGATCGTGCCCTCGCGATAACGACAATCGCGCCTCTTTGCGCTCTCCTGCTCCGTTTTAACGTTTACCATTAATTCAGGCAATTTAGATTTAAGATTAGTATGTCGAGAAAAAAGTTTGTGATTACAATTGTACAGTGGAATCGTCGAAATGAGGAAACCCGCATTCTTGCAGCAAGTGTCACCATGTTGTCATCGATAATAACTCTACATATATATTGCTACTATTATGATTTTAAGGTAAGGTCAACAAAAATACGTTTGACACCGGAAATGTAGTTATAACTTTTTAGCGAGCTCGACCATTCTTTCTCTCTCAGCGTGCACTACGAAATACGTGTGAAATCCATATAATTTCGCCGGCGGGCACTCACCCGTCGATAAATGGCCGTATTGAAGATCACCAGCGCGATGAACGGGAACATGTAGTACACGAAGAAATACAACCAGTGTATGTACAGGGTGACGTAATACTCGTTGCTCCTCATCTCGGTCGGCGTGATGCAGTACACAGTGACGTTGTACTTCCAATGTATCTCGACGTACACTTCGATTTCCCAGAACCTAAATCACGCGAAATACACGCGAAAATTTAATCTTGTTAGCCGGACGACCGGCGACAGCAAACGGCGTCGCGCCGCGGTATTACACTTACTTCGGTAAATTGTAGAGAAAGGCAAAGACCACTATAACCAACACCGCCACCTGCGCTCGTCCGTAAGTGCAAAACGATCTGGCTTTCAGCGGATGGCAGACCGCGATGTATCTCTCCACGGTCACCGTCAGCGTCAGGTACACCGTCACAATCTGCGCCATGCAGGAGAACGGGTACAGGAACTTGATAATCTTCGGGTAGACGATGAACTTGTAGTGGAACAGTAGACCCGTGTACGTGTAGATCGCCGGCAGTCCGTAGATCAGCATCTGCGAATGGATGCGTATCATGTAAGTGAAATCTCGCGATCCTCGCGATTTTTCGTCATTTTGCGACGTTGAAAGGTTGAAAGGTTGCATTCGTCGATGAAACGTTATTGCGTAAGGACGCCATGCCTGCGCAAATAATCGTGTTTGGTGAAAAAGAAATCGTCGGCGGAATAATTGCGCGGAAGATAATTTTTCGCGGGCAATCTGACGTCAAACTTGTGGTGCACACTGCATGCCTTGCCGTTATTTATTGTTTATAACAATTTGCACGATTTTTAGCCTTACGTACGCGCACATGATTTCAATACGGTTTCGACACTTTCCTCTCGACGCAGCTTAGAAGCGCCGTCGATAGAGTCCATTGAGTGCATCTAGCTTCTGGGAATTAATCACAGCTCTCTCTCTCTCTCTCTCTTTCTCTCTCTCTCTCTCAGACCATCGCGTAATTATAAAAGTTTATCGGGGTAGTATGTTTTCGCGTCGATCACTTGACGTCTTGTCGACGTGATTTCGCGCCATCCGTTGCCCGCGAAAAATCATCTTCCGCGCAGTATTTCCGCCGATAATTTTTTTGTTCACGAAACACGATTATTTGCAGACGCGTCCTTACGTAACGTTTCATCGACGAATGCACAAATAGCTGGTTAATGAAAGAACGCGGGATCAGAGAAGTTTACCGTATGATTAATTAATAACCGGGGTAGTTTACGTAACTCCTCGACAGGGTTAGCGCGGAATCCTGCGTATGGGCGCTTTGGGCCTCTCCGGCCCACTTTCGCCAGAGGCTTGCTTGTTTACCGACTCCGTCAATCTTGTTAATCTTGGATTTATTCACGAGTCCGGGAAGCCGCGCAACTGCACACTGGGACTTATTTACATAAGCTTGACGCGCGGCTCGCATCCCACATTATCCTGATGCACACATGCGCGACGCATTTTTGACGAGTTCATTTCTTTTTCCTCCCATCGCGAATTTACATCGCGAAGTTACGAGTTACGAGACTGAATTAAGAAAAAGCAATCTTGTGATGCTATTCACCGTCTGCGCACATGCAATTTTCTCTAACTCGACATATTTTAGAGACACGTTATCTCTCGTAAAATATTATCTCTAAATATCATCGTGTTTCTCAGTTTATAAGTTTCATTACGGTGGAATTTCTCTCACGGAGATTTGCTTTGCTCGGTTTATACTGTTATAACCGCGAACGTATATATTCTTCTGAAAAGAAAAAATTCCCAAGTTTAATAATAATAATCATACGAAACGTAAGAAGAGTGTTTCCTTGTTCGTTGACAACAAGCTTTTTCTCTCCGCGGTAATTCCAGTCTTGCGGGATCCGAGGGAATCGCATAAACCGTACGTATATACGAGATAAAAATATGAAAGCAGAGGCGAAACTATAAATTACACATTTAGAGAAATAACTTAAATTACAGGGGAAGTATAAAATGGAACGCCCGTGGCATACACCGCATTTATTTTAATAGAAAATACGGCTTTGCAAATCGTTGCAAATTTATCGCCGTGCAAAACGCAGGATTAAGAGCGATATTAAAACGAGAGGTCTGCACTTTATTACAGCAAGCGTCACGAGGCGCATTTGCTGATTTCTGCGCTCCTTTTTGTTTCCTCGTCTCTTCTTTCTTTCTTTCTTCCTCACTCGTTAATAAAGGAGCACGTGTATAAGGAGTATATATATATTCTAGTCGAGACAACCCCTAAATGAAAATCCATTGTTGCGCGCAACATGTTAATTAATTCTATGGGATCATGCTTGAATAATAAACGCGCAGTGAGCAATACACAGCTTTGAATTGCATTCTTTTAATCGCGTCTGGCGTATAAATGTATCTTACAAATGGTACGAATGTATCCGTTACTTTCCGGTTCGAATTCTGAGGGCAAGTTTTATGCGAATCGTTCGTAACATGTGCAGCGGAAGCTCGAAAGTTTGTAATCGTGGGTTCTCGGATTTCTCGTTGTTTCGTGTTTTTAATATTTAATATGAAATATGTGAAATGTATCCTCAAGAAACTTTTATAATTAAAAATTACTCTTGCAAATTAAAATTTTAATGAAGAATTTAAAACTGAAATGAAACGACAAATCGATTTTAGCGCGATTAGCGCGTATTTGCGACTCAATAAAAATTCTTATACATTCACTCTTATCGTGGTTCGAAATTATCAAATGTCTTCGAAAACATCGAAATATAATAAATCATCGGTTTTCTCGATTTCGTGCTTTTTCCCTTTTCAACGGCAGGTCATCCCGTATGTTTGGCTGAACGGGGCTGAATTCGCCGCGTGCAAAAAGCTGACTCGTATCACTTTCGGCATGAGTGCCCTTGATGTTTCAAAAGCGTCATTAATAAAAGCCGACCAACAATAACAAGGCGTCGCGATAAGCCCTACGAAAACGCAGTTCGATGGCTCGGAAACGCTACGAAGCGATGGATGTTTTTTCGAAAATTTTTATCTGGCTACGGTTCGCGCACAAGATTGATTGGCAAGTCGGGCACGACGACAGTAAACGCCGAATCATATCGGCAATTACGGGACATTCCGCGATCCCATCGAGATTGTTTCTGGTCGCAGATGCCAATTAAACGTTGATTTTCCGATCGGTGAATCGTACCTACCTCGTCGAACATTGCAGTTATTTACGCATCAGGCAGAGAAGTCGCATTTAAGAGGCCGCTTTTTCTAGGCTTTGCGTGAAATGCAAAGTAGATAGAAATTTCTGCATTATTAATATATGAAAATTCGTTGTTATATATGAAAACCGATTGGTAAGAAATAATTTGCATTGCCTTAGCTGCAAGTGAAAACTTCGTCGTGTATCCGTGAAAGAAAGATTATTTAATGTGCTTGAAAAAAGTGAAAAATGTATTTAACGAAAATATTGTTCACTATTTCTCCATTTAATAGTTTAACAAGCAGTAGAGTAAGTCAAGGTACGATGAAAAGTAATGAGATTAATATTTTATATGAGCATCAATTATTTCGCGTGCGAATTCAAGGAATTAATTTTAAAGAGAGCTCTCAAATTGAATATTAATACTTTGGTATATTATTTTTTTAAGTTGATTTTTTTACGATAAAGGCAAAAGATTGCTCGACCATATCAGACTGGATGCTCACTCTGATCGCTTCTTTTATATTAAATGCGCGATGTCTTGCTTCGCTTTGCAATGTATATTGCAAATAATATAATAATTTTAACTGGTATAAAAATCCAGTTCCCTTTCCTCTCTGCATAAGTAACTCATGAAAATACTTCCTCAGTTAAGCGGAACGCCGTGGCCCGTTTTTTCGCGTAACTTTGCAATTTCAAGTCAACGTATTGGGCAACGGCGCTTTAAATAAGCGAGCCGCCATTTACTGCGCTCATTATTCATGCATTAGTCATATCAAAGTTACGTTTGCCCGCGGCGTGGGTTTCTTAATCGCTCTCTTTTTCCCCGCTCTACTACATAGTTCCCGTGTGCCCGCCTTTTGGATGAAAAGAATAGAAGAACAGTATGTGAGAAACAGCTAAAGAATGGAAGAATAGAATTAGAGAGAACGTTGATCTTCTTGCACAATCTGCGGCATGTATTCAAGCAACGTGAAATAAAGCGATAAGAAATGCCAATGTAAATTCTTATCGAATTCGAATTTCTTGAGAAAGAAGGAAAACCACCACCACGTGGAGAAATATACAGGAAGAAAATAGAGATGCACAAAGGATAACAAGCTTACTGCGACGATGATCAGCACAGTATCGCATCTGGCCAGTCCGATCAGCAGATAATTGATGGACGATTTCATCTGCGGCCGCGACAGGATAATCATCGAGATCGTGTTGCCGAGGATCCCGAAGAGACCTATCAGGTTGATGAGCACGCCGTAGATAATGAAGTCGGACAGGCCGTATGTGTTGACCTCCTGATCGCACTCGTATGGGCTGTCGTTGCCGATGGATCTGCCAGCATTGTAGTAACCGGGAATGATTGTGGTCGTCGTCGAGTTCATTTCCATCGTTCAGCCTTACGATTCGTCCACCGCTTCGTCCCGATTGCGCTTCCCTTCTTCTCCGCCGTCTCTTCACGTTACCATTTTCACCGAACTCTGCTTGTTTATTCCTTCCTCCTGTCTGCCTGCCTGTTTGCTAATTTGATCCAGTCTTTGCGTTCTTCAGGTTCTGCAACTGGAAATAATGTCTGTTGTAAATTAGTTATTCCTTCGTTATCGCATTTGCATGGAACCTCTTCGTTAATACTTGTCAGAACTTCATTTCTTCGGTCGTTTTTAATAGACGTCATATATAAACAATAATACATATGCCAGTATGATCAGCAGCTACTTAAGGTCTTTATGAAAAATTAATGTCAGAAAGCTGAAAACTTTTATTTTACATTCAGAGTTGTTAGTCGCACAAAAAATTTTCAGCAAAGACTTTTCGTGTAGACGCTGGCCGATGAAGCGGTCGATATTTGATTTTAAGGGTTAGTGCCACGTGTTTCAAACTTATAGACTCTCTCAATTGTCTTTTCGTTCGACATTAAAGTTGACAGACTTTCTTTCCCGGGAGAATGGATGCGCGTTTCGAGACATAAAGACTGTCTTTCTCTTACCTTTGTTATCAGATATCCTGGCGACTCGAACTTGCGTTGTCTCTCGAAGCTGGAAGATCTTCGGGTTCAGGTAGCATAACGTCGTTCTTTCGTCGTTCGATTTCTCTCTCTCTCTCTCTCTCTCTCTCTCTCTCTCTCTCTCTCTCTCTCTCTCTCTCTCTCTCTCTCTCTCTCTCTCTCTCTCTCTCTCTCTCTCTCTCTCTCTCTCTCTCTCTCTCTCTCTCTCTCTCTCTCTCTCTCTCTCTCTCTCTCTCTCTCTCTCTCTCCCTCTCTCTCTCTCTCTACATTATCGTCGATCGCTTCTCAGATCACCTCGGTCGTTTTCACGTCTTCGAGAGTTTCGCGTAGATGCTTTTACGATGTATCGCGGTTTTACGACAAACCGCGAATCGCTTTGCCATCCGACTCTCCGGATCTCGACGTAGTGGCCTCGGCGGGAGTTTGTAAGCTGAAAGGAAGAGGTGCGTTTGCTATCTCATCCTCATAAATCAGAGACGAACCTGTGTTTACTCTTTAAATGTGAATAAAGAGAGCACCGTTTCGCTCCCGCATCTATGTGAATTGCAAATTTTTCAACGACAACATTTGAAACGTGAGAGAGAACTCTCCGGTTTTCAACATTTTTTCATAGAAATAAATATGACGAAAAATTTCTCTCAGAGCATAAACCAAGATAAACAAGTTACAAAATGTTCCTGCTTTTTCCTTTCCTTTATCAGAAGGTGTTATTCCCACGTTCATGAGGCGATTTTCTCGGTATCCTACACATTCACACACGCATGCATTTTCCGCCAGCGGGAAATGTTTTGAAAATATCTAGATGGGGGGCGTCATAGTTCCTCGTACGTCATATTATTATTTTTATTTTATACATATGTATGTGTCGGAGTCATGTCTGTCGCGACCGTTCGTTGTTATTATTCAATTTAAAGTTTCAACAAGCAGAAGGCGGGGTAGACGCATTGTTGACCGGTTCATCGAGCTGGTCATGACAACCGACAATGGGCGTGTCGTTACATGACTATTAATCGCAACGTTTACATTCTACCTCTCGGGGGCGCCGAACTTGATCGCAAATAAACAGCGTGTCGCTGGCGTGTCGCGATGGAAAGTCATTAGAGGTCTCTCGCGCCGTTCAGTGTCGGGAATCGCGGTGTGTGCGTGCGCGAGTGCGCGCGGAAACGCGCGCGTTCGTCAATTAACCGAAGCCCGGGGAAATGTACATTTTCACGCGCAGAGAAATTCCGACGTGTGATGTAGCGCGGCTTGATTTATCGATCGGATCACGAGCCCGCCTTCGTTCGAACTTGCCAGATGTCTTCGAGTTGATTGCAACATCGTTGGTACGTAAACCTTGAACTCGTTCATCTTCCTGTACGATTAAGTTAGGTTAGGCTAGGTTAGGTTTCGAAGTTCTCGAACCGTCGCGCCGTGTCGACTTCTGTCTGTATTTTACTACGATTTTCTATTAAGGTTGATGATATCAGAGAAGATCGTATTGACTCTCATTACCATTGCGCTTCGAAATGAAACGGTTCGAGATTCCTCTTCTCGTTCGCAAAGGCTACAAAGCTTTTTACATCATAATGACGATTGTCGTTTTATATTCGTGTTTCAGATCGAAACGGCGATTTTCCAAGGCTGTCGGCACTTTTTCACCGGCTTCCACCGGAAATATTAAAACGCAAGTACCATTGAAATCAATAATTAAAAGTGGGTTGTTTCGCAATTGATTAACATGAGAGAGACAACATCCCCTCTCTCTCTCTCTCTCTCTCTCTCTCTCTCTCTTTCTCTCTTTTTCTCGGTATTCTCACTGCCCGCCTACTTACTCACCTTCTCGTCTACCCCGGAATTATGCTCGAATTATTTTAACTGATTAAATTCAGCTTATAACAAATATTATTCTTTACCATGTAAATATTCGAATTATTCGACGGAACGGAAATAAAAGCGGACGAAAAGCTCGCTTTTCGCGAGCGGTCGTGCAACTTGCTTAAACGGGAAATAATTGTCGTTCGTTTCGCGCGAACACGATGTTCGTTCGTGTGATTTTAATGATGCAATTAGACGCTTGCTCGCGCGTCGCATTGCGCTGAATTGTTATTTTGTATGTTAGCGGTTGCATCTTTTGATATTCGCTAGGGCTAAGGTTACCCGGGGCGGTGAGAATCTCGTTTATGGTGTCACGACGACCGTGACAGATTCGATATAGGTTCCGCGCGCATAATCGCGCGACCCCGGCCCCGTGCCGCGCATATGCGCTTTGCGTATCGCACACGCATATGCGTATGCGTATACGCGCGTAAGGGCCTGTAAAGCGTAGCGCGGCGCTACAAGGGCGATTTGAACGTAGCCGTCGTGCGGTCACGGCTGGTCGCTTCACGTGCGACGTTCACATCTGTTTGTGGCAATTCTCCTCCATGTTCGCGCGACAGGTGTGTGTATCGATAATTGATACACTTGTCCCTGGCTTCCGCATCGGCGATCCCGCACGCTCCGTTACGCTCTTCCCCGCGCGCGTTCGCGGCCGTTCCAATTTGCACGACGCATTTCGCGCGCAGTTTGTCTGTGCGTCTGTGCAATCATTGCGCGCAAACAAGCGATTGCCTTTGTGATTTTCGACAATTAGAGGGCCGAGCAAGCGGAAGGTGATATATGTGTGGTTACGCGCGTGTTCTCTCTTTCTCTTTCTTCTTCTCTCTCTCTCTCTCTCTCTCTCTCTCTCTCTCTCTCTCTCTCTCTCTCTCTCTCTCTTTCTCTCTCTCTCTCTCCTTCCCTCTCCGCAAAAACTTGTTTTCTCAACGGACGAGAGCGTTATGCGCTTTTGTAGGATATACCACCGCTAATTAATATCGCATTAATGGCTTTGTTCGTAAAATAAACGAGATCAACAGGTATATGTGTACATTTCGTCATTCAAGAGATACATTCGTACGGGGAAGAAAAACTCTCTGCGGCTTGTAATACGTTCGAATTCGCGGCGTACAACCGCGCGGTAGATAATGGGCTTTGTACTCGGGATGATGAATTTAATTTCCGCGCAAATCGAGATGGTGAAGATCAAATCAGGTTAATTTGCGGAAACTACCCGTTCTGTGTGTGTGTGTGTGCGCGCGCGCGTGCGTTATACGTTTTCAGCATCGGAGATTTACAGCACTTGGAAAAACAAAGGGAGCTCCGATAAATACCTTCGGTCATGGAAACCGCAGCACGTTTCCGCTCTCCTGTCGCTTAAAAATTCCTGCGAAAGCGTCTTGCTCCGGGCGATCTATTCTCGCTGGTAAAATAGTCGATTTATTTTGGATCGACGCGCCGAGCGAGAGACTTGCGAGTGCAACTCCGCGAGAAAGTCTTGCATTTTTCACGTGGACTCGGGATAAGCACTCGATACTTTTTGATCTTGGCACGTGTCGGCGTTTAGAAACGACGACGACAACGACAACGACGACGACGACGACGACGACGACGACGACGACGACGACGACGACGACGACGACGACGACGACGACGACGACGACGACGGTGGCGGCTGGCCTCTTTGATAACCTTGCGTAATAGTGATATTTGCGCGCGTCGGAACAGAAATGCAAACACGCGAACGTACTTTGCACGAAACACGCGCGACGTGTGCATGCCAGAATAATCGTGTTGGTCGAGTGTCCGCCGGCGTTGCATGTGCAATCAGTGTTTGAGCTGTGAGACAGACGCTGCAAATCAAATGTTATAATTCACGGAGGAAGAACTCAATTCTAATAATAAATTCAATGTACCACGCGATGCGTGAGCCTCTCTGTGCGTATATCGTTTAATACAGTAACGATATTCGCCTGATTCATCCGCTCAAAATAGCGTGGCCCTTCTTCTTGATCACACACATACACACACACACATACAGAGAGAAGGAGAGAGTTTTTGTTGAATAGTATACTACACTGCGTCGCGTGACTGGAATGCATTCATGTTACAGTCCAAATTTATGTACCACAGCGATTTACCAGCGGTAGCAATTTGCTCGGATATCTTTTCAATTTTATAGTATAAAAATGTGCTGCACGTATCTGCAGGAATAATTCCCCACGTCAGCTTTGAATGTGACAGACGAGCTAATGCGGAACTCCGTCAAAAAATTTACGAGTCTTATCTTCCAAAACCAAGCTTTTTCTCCCGCAGTCTTGTTCGATGTTGCGCCTTTCAACGTTAATCTCACGGTTTTTCATACTTAGACGCGCAAGGAGAACGACACGCTTGCTGTTCGCAGGATTACTTCGAGTTTTGAGATTTGTCCTGATGCGATAACGATAACGACACAACGATAACGGCGCGCGTCGCGTTCCTCTCATGCAAATAATGTCGTGCTCCTCGAGGGGTGAATATTGCGAAGCGTCACACAATCAACGGGACATTTTGGAGGCATCGACACGAGCCGTTGGTAAAAAAGAAACAAGAAAAAGAAAGGAGAAAGAGAACATGCATGTATAATATGCCATTCTGCGCGAAAGATGTATTCGGGGAACACATTTTCTTATTGTTGCGCGGAAGCCTCTCGAGTAACTTTCTTTTGGATCATATCTTTGTCCTTCGAACTCTTTATTCTCCCCTCGTTCGGATCGTGCGTCGTCCTTTTGCGGGAAGTTTTTTTCGGCGGTTCTGGGACGCTCCTCGGGGCGCGATGGCACCGGAGAGTCATGATTTATACATGCGTGGCGGAAATTTACGCACGACTAATGCCGAAGGAAACCTACTCTTCTCGGGTCGACTTCGGATAATAAATTTACCCAAGTATTACATTTGTACCTCCAGAGGTACTTGCTGCTCCGTCGAGCTACTGTCCTAATTATTATTATTATCCTACTTATTATTATATTTATTATAGTTATTTATTATTATTATACTACTTATTATTATATTATTATAGTTATTTTAAAGAGTTCCAAACGCGTTGCTTGCTTGTCGAAGCTCCCCGAGGGAATCTCGTCAATTATTTCGCTCCAGTTTCCTCCAGCTCGCGATGATATTTAATAATTTCCGTTACGAAAGTATCGTCGTTAAAAGCGTTCGTCTGAGCACGTTCTGCCCCGAAGAACCGCCCTTGGAACACGCGCGACAGTCAAAATCATGAGAGAAGAGTTCGAAACGTGCG